CTGGCATTTAGGTATGGAGGAGGTGCGGGGGTTAGGACAGAGGCTGGGTGTAGAAGGGAGCTTGATGTAAGCTGGGATTGGAAAGCAGGATCGGAAAAGGAATTTAGGTGAAGGAGGAAGTTGTGACCTAGGGAATGCATGCAGCAGGGTGTGCAGGGGGTGGGTGTGCAAAGTCTGGGAGGAGTATAGGTGCAGAAGCAAGGATGTTTAGGTATGGAGGAGGTGCGGGGGTTAGGACAGAGGCTGGGTGTAGAAGGGAGCTTGATGTAAGCTGGGATTGGAAAGCAGGATCGGAAAAGGAATTTAGGTGAAGGAGGAAGTTGTGACCTAGGGAATGCATGCAGCAGGGTGTGCAGGGGGTGGGTGTGCAAAGTCTGGGAGGAGTATAGGTGCAGAAGCAAGGATGCAGAGGGTTTCATGGGTATAGGGTGCAGAAGCAGGGGCAAAGGGTCGGATGTTCGACAGAGGTGTTGGAGTGCCAGAGGCAGGCTCTGGCCAGGAGACGCTTCCCTGGACTCCCAACTGGTAACCTAGCAGTTTCCTCAACCAGGCTCCCTGCATTCCATGCTTCTGCACGCTGCTCAGAGTTGGCTGCAGGGGCCATACGGCTGTTCTGAATGCTACAAGCCAGAGGAAAAGGGGGGAGGGGAGTTCATTCACTCTCTGTTCTTCAAAGAGGCAGCTCCACTGGCTGGAAACTGACCAGTGGGAGCTGCAATACTGTGCTGGGGGCAACATGTGAAGCCTCTGCTCCCTTCACCCAAGCTCATAGTAGTCAGACACATATGGCCCCTCAGCAAACTGCTCTGAGCATCATGCGGAGGCAGGGCAAGCAGCTTAGCTGAGGCTCCCGCTGGTCCCCGGACTGGATCCAGAAGCTTAGCAAGCCAGGTCCAACTCGCAGACTGTATTTTGCCCACCCTGATCTTGAGCAGGAGTAGGTAGTGGTATCTCAACACATTGTAGCAGGTGGTCTGGCTCAGCCAAACTCACTCCACCCTAGGCCACCACTGCAGCAGAGAGAGCGGCATAGAGAATACCTCATGTTAGAAAACAATCCGAGCAATTTGAAAAGGAGGTAAGAGACTCAGGGGCCACGCATATCTCAAATTCTAAATTTACCCATGACTGCAGTAAATTAAACACACACACACACACACACACACACACACACACACACACACACTTACTTTTTCTCATGGCCTTAGCAATAATGTGCCCAAGCTCATAGGTCCCTCAGCATTGCAAAGGTCTCCTAAACATCTCTCCCTTGGTTCAGTCTTACCTTGCTCTCTCAAATGTCTTCTCAGTGTATCTCCCTACTCCCCTGAGGTTTACACCTAGGCTACAGCTATGAACTTTTTCCAGAAGAGGAAATGCAAATGGAGCACTCAATTTGCATTTTCTCTTCCAATCCTTTTTGCAGAAGTTTTTGTGCAAAAGAGTGCTGTGTAGACAGCACCTTTTTGCACCAAAACCCTCTTTTCGCAAGATCCCTTAAAATGAGGAAGAAGGGTTTTGGCGCAAAAAGGTGCCGTCTACACAGAGTTTTTTTGCGCAAGAACCTCTTCTGCAAGAAGAATCGGAAGAAAATATGCAAATGAGTGCCCCATTTGCATTTCCTCTTCTGGAAAAAGTTTGTAGTGTAGCCGTAGCCCTATAGATGATCTTATCTGTTCTTTTAGCCCTTCCCAGCATCCTCCACATCTAGCTTACTCCCTTGCAGCCATTCCATTCTGCCTTCCTCTCCCTAGTATCCACTTGGACCGTTACCTGATGAATTCCTCCTCCACCACCAAACCACACCACAGTCGACGGAGATCCAGTTGCAGCAGTTGTGTCAGCAGCTGTATAAGTGGCTGCCTCTCATCTTCCCAGCAGAAGCCTGAGCCTGTGGCATGATTCTTCTTGTTCTGAGAGGATAAATATTCACATTGGCAGCATGCCCTTTTAAAGCTGGAGGTGATCCTCAAGTTTCAATCTGCCAAGAGCCAAATGGCCACAGCAAAAGGAACCAGCTGTGATGGCTTTCCTCTTATATGGAAAGGGCCATGCGCTTGGGAGGAAATGCTGGAATACTGGAACTGCAACAATAGGAGGCACCACACCGAATAGCCTTGGCATTTAGGTATCAGCAAACCTTGCCTGCTGTGTTCTGTCCTGTCTCCTAAAGCTGCCACCCACAAGTAACTCAAAGATGCACATACCACAGCCTGGCTTTCCTCAGGTCATAGTGACCTGATCAGCATCTGGGACAGATATACCTCGGGGGAGTGCCCTGTGACCTCCATACTCATTTATAGACAATTGTGGTCTTGCATATACAGTATATCATGTAAGGCAGTGGTCACCAACCAGTAGATCAGGATCTACTGGTAGATACTGGAGCCTTTGACAGGTGATCTTGACTGGTTTGGCCAAGAGGCTATCAAGAACAGCACTTCAGCTGTCCCTCCCCCTACTGCTGCACATCTCCTGTCCTTTGCCTTAGAGTTGCCCCTCCCTGAGAGCCTCCTGCTTGCAGTGCAGAGTACGAAGGAAGAGGAGGAGGTGCTGATGTCAGGGTGCCCCCTTTCTCATCCTGTATTCTATCTCCACAGAATGGAGGGCGAGAGCACAGCAGGGCTTGGGATGGAGGAAGTTTGCTGGCTTCTTTGGAGTGTGGTCCCTTCCCTGACACCCCTTCCTCCCCCCTCTCCCATCTAGAGTTACCACAGCCTAGGGACAGGCGCTTCGTCCCTGGCCTCCACCCAGCCTCGCCTCCACCTACCCCAGCTGGGGGACAGGCTCCATTCTCTCAGCTGTGCCTGCTGGAGCTCCTGACAGCCATGGAGAGGTACTTCTCACCTGGCACCAAGCTGATGCAGTGAGAGGAGGCTGGGGGACGAGGGGCATAGTCCTCTCTCCCTAGAGAAGCCTGCATCCCAAATCCATCATCCTTAGCCCCACACAGAGCCCACCCCCCCAGCCAGAAACCCTCCTGCATTCCAACCCCCTCATCCCTGCTCCCACCCCGGAACCCATACCTTCATCAGGATCCCTCACTCTCCTGCACCTCAATTCTCTGCCCCAGTCCCTTCCTGCACCCCAACCACACACTGTTCATGTGCAGAATGACTTTTCTGTGATATGGAAATGATGGATCACATTAGTGCACACAAGAGTCATTCCACACATGGACATAAAACAATTGGAGGGAACAATGGTGCATATCCACTTTCCATTAATAAAGTGGTGAACCAATGAATACATTTTTTCCCCTAAAGTGCAAGGCTGGGAGTTGAGGGGATTTAGCTGGTGTCTTACTCTTGAAAGATTCATGAATGGCTCTGGGAGCATTCCCGTCATCCAGCTGGATGTGGGGTTCCACATGCTGTAATGCTGAGTGATCACAGCACCTGGAAGGGTTTGCTGCTTGTTGCTAGAAAACCATCAACTCTCCAACTGAGCCTGGAGAGTTGATGGGGCACAGCAATCCCACAATTCCAGGCTGTATCCTGGGGATCCCATCACAGCATCCATATGGGAAATTCCAGCTAGAGCATCAAAGTGCAGGAACAAAGTTGCAGAGTCCAGTAAATTTATGCATGTCCATTTTCAAAAAAAATCCACTCCCACCTGCCTCGCATACATACCTTTCCACTGGGATCCAGCCCTGCCAAGCCACTCTTGCAGTCTATCTCGAAGGCCTCTACTAGGTGAGTCAGCACATAGCAGTTCATTTTAAGAGCATTGAGGTGAGTGGTGCGTTCCGAAGGGCTCAGATCAAGATCATCCAAGATGGAGGAGAGGTCACTGGAGTAACGGGATACCACTGCAGGAAGGTGAGAAGGCAAAAGGATCGCTACCCATACATACTCAAGCACCCGCTTCCTTTGCAACAAACTCACAGCAGCCCTCAGATTACCAAAGAACTGTGCTCATGCCTCACTGGCCATAATCTGGACTACACCCTGAGACCCAGGACCCAAAGACACCAAGTTCATTCTGTCCCCATGCCCTGCTCAGTCCAGCCCCTAGGACCACTTGCTAAGGGCAGGCATACTCCCTTCGAGGAATGAAATGGAAAATGGGACTTTATGTCGGTCTGCCCTTACAGCAAACGCACACAAACTCTGCACTGCCTGCCAAGATTACAGACCTATATCAGGGACGGGTTGAGGGTGCAGCCCAGCCAATGAGATCACATTTGCCTTCATATCATCATAGAGCTGCAAGGAAGAAGCAAATATCTCACCATGAGAAGAAGGCTCCTCATACCTACCTTTTGTCATGAGCTCCAGGGCATCCTCCTTGACTGCAGCATTTACAGATCGGAAGTGACTGAGAAGCAGACAACAGAGAACAAAATATAGGATGACTACTGGTAGTAGGCCTACTACAAAGCTGTCACATAGGAGTCTTCAGGAGCAACTCTAGACTTTTCTTCTAAAGCCAGCTCTCTCCCAACTTGCCCACATAAACTGATCCCTCCAGCCACATATGAGAAGGTTTAAATAGGTCCATCAGAGATTTCACTGGAGAATCTGTACTCATTGATAAATTTACCTTTAAGTTTCTCAGAAAATTCTGTACTCAAAAATGCACGTTCTACAGTTTTGGGAGTATAAGCTATATTCCTCCTCAGGTAACAGATTGAGTACCAAATGGAGGGGGGAGGGAAGGAGAGAGAGAGAGAGAGAGGCCTGAGCCTTCGGGGCTGCATACAGGCAAGCCGGGGGCTGAAGACAACCCTGGGCTTGAGGTTCCCCACTCCTGCTCTAAAGGTATACAAAGATTTCAAATAGGAGTATTTTGAAATGTTATGAACAAAATGCAAAAGTGGATCTAGGCGAGCTGGTGAGTGAGCGATCAGAATTTATTGCTAACTGAATCCACTTATTAAGCAAACACCACTCTTGAGAAGCAAACACTTAGCTATAGTATGGAAATGCAAATCATAGGAAATAGTGAGTTGTGTATCGTACAAATACAAAAAGTTACAAAAGACAGACAACGGCAATGCAAGAAGTTGTAGTAAACACAAGGACTTAGTTACCATACTTAAAATAGCTGCTAGTACAGCTATACTGGGAAAAACTATAATAGACACCATTACATACCCCTTATTGAAATAGGCAGGCCACCAAAAATCTTGTAGACATGCACTAGTACAAACGAGGGATGTTAACATTAATCAACTAATCAACTATTCAATTAGGGCAATTCTATGAAATGTAGCAAGAGCCCACCCAGCTGTTGCTACGTTTCAAAGGCAGAAGTGCCACAGGGTGTTCTGCCTTGGCAATGCCACATGGAGCATTGCCACTGAGTCCCCCACAGGCCCCAAGCTCCACGCAGAATTTCCGCTTTGAAATGTACAAGAACCCCAGCAGAACTCTTGTACTTTTCAAAGGTGTAACACTGTCACTGCGCTCCGCCCCCACCCATGGAGCTGGAGGGAACTAGCTTTTAAGCAGACTCCCCCCAGCAAGCCCTCCTTTTCCTCCTGCGCCCCACTTTCTGATAGAGGCAGCAAGAGGCAGGGAGGGTGGGGGAATGACAACTAGTTGACTACTGTGTCAACTATCCAATAAGCTTTTGCTTATCGGATAGCCAACTAGTCGATTAGTCACTTACATCCCTAGTACAAACCAAGGCATGTTTCCCACTACAAGCTATGGAAACCACCAGCAAAGCTTACAGAAGGCTGGAGTGAAAATTGCCTAATACCGAATTCATACAAACAAACCATCACTCAGTGCTATTTGTCAGCCTGCCACCCAAACAAACCAAATGTTGCCCCGTAAAATTAAAAAAACAACAACATCTAGATGTCACATACACCAAAAGATGTCAGTTTTGCCCTGACGTGGAAAGGGAGAGAGGGCACCTACCTAAAGTATTTGAGAGATGAGAAATCTATTTTCTACCCAGCTGTAACATTCCCTTCCCTCCAAGGAACTCCCAATTCCCAACTCCACCACAGCTTAACAGCCTCTCCTCCTTGAGATGGCTGCAATAATCAGTGAAAAAGGCAATGCTTATATTATTGCATCACTAACTAGCATCCCAGGTTAATGCCACACAGCATGAGGCCCTTCTGCACTCAGGACCTGGCCAGGAGCTCAGAAGCCTGTGGACGAGAAGCATACAGGGTATCCAACTTAGTCAAATGGGTAAGGCTCGCTGAACCACGGTGAGCCCCACTCACCAACCGCACTGTCCAATGATCTGCGCATGCGCAGATCGCCCGAATCCGGCTCTTCCAGGTTGCAATCTACTCGCCACAGGCGAGTAGACTGCATTATTTCTTGAGCCCTGCAAATGGGTACAGTTGTGCAGACCCAGCAGTACCTCACTGGCCTACCCATTTGGAGAACTGTGCAGACACATATTCAGGACTCTGGGCTCCTGAATCAGTAGGAGGAGCAAGAGCAGTAATGCACACTACCACTCATTATGACCAAGTCACTCCCACCCCCCGCAGGGTGGGATATACTCACTGGAGCAGACTGTAGAGGGTGTCGAAGTGCTGCAGAATGGCCAGAGGCCCCTGCACCCGGAATGCTCCCCGGAATTCTAAGGAGACAGCAAGACACAATTAACAGCATTGTCAATGGCAATAGATCAAAAATTATGAGCGCGTGCGCACGCACACACACAAAGAAACCCACCACCTATCAAACTTTTCATCTCCCTGTAGTCTTCCAGTTAAATGCAATAATTTCAGACTTAAATAAACACAAAATGAATGTCACACTCTAGCCACTTGGATGAAGAGACTCCACTTTTCTTCCCCCTGCTAAGATTGGGGAACAGTCCTCCATTGTCTAGACTCCTCATGTCACTTGCCTGAATCCCGGAAGTGTTCTCCACTTTCCCGGGCTCAACAGCAACAACTTTTTGACTTTCTAGCCCCCAAAGGCTTTTCTTCTGTTAGAATAGCAAGTAGAGAAATCCCAAGGCAGTTAGAGGAGGTTAGCGTTGTTCAAGGTCCAACAACATTTCCCTAATCCCCACCCCCCCAGACTTCTGTTGCCCCAGGACCCTCTCTCGCTGCTATAGAACCATACATAAAGCTGAGATGCCAATCCTCCCAACTTTTTACATGTATTTACAGAATTACTAATCTTGTAAGCACAAACGTTTTGTACTCAAGAATTTACCTGGTGTTTCTCAGGTCCTTGTAGGGGGCGGGGTGCAGAAGTCAGGGCAGGGGGGCACACTCAGAGCAGGGAATTGGGCTGGCAGCAGGAGCCACACTGTCCCTGGGAATGACTGAAGTTGCAGGAGCCATACTTGCTATCCCTCTGTGGTCAATTGTGAGTATAACTATCCAGGCTATATCAGCCCTCTCTTACCATTTAATAAGAAACAGTCAGATTCCAGACACACCCCATTGTCCTAGAACAATTAAACGCTGACCTTGCTTCAAATTATGATAAAAGGAAGCTGTATACCAAATTTGGTGGTCCTAGCTCTTACTATTCAGGAGGCATTCTTAAAACAAATGGACTCTCAGACACACAAACACATACAGCAAATAGTATTGAGGCTGCAGAGCAGCATTCTCCTCTGCCCTTAGGGCACAAGGTAGACAATGCAGTTAAGAGTCGGCTAGAAAGCAAGACTCAGCAATTCTGAAAGAGCTGGAGCACTCCTAGGTTCACCACAGAGGCTAACGCTGTGCTTTGTCTGCCCCCCTGCCTTGTAGACCCTACTGGGCTAAGTTAATGCACTCACCAGCAGTGTTTAGAGAAGAAGTGCTAGATATCAGGTAACACAATAGTTAAGTATCCGCATGAATTCTTATTGGTTACTCAACTATTCTATAGTCCCTGGGGTAGGGCCAGCTCACAGTGCACTCTGGCCCCAGGCACGGGGCGCCTCCTGAGCCAGTCTCGCCATTCTTATGTTCACAACACCCAGCACCCCAGGCACCAATAAAAGCACTGCACTTCTCTTCTCAGCCTCTCGCTGTGCAATCGGTGGGGAAGAAGCTAGAGGAGACCGTGACAGCAGAAGAGAAGAAGGGGAAGGGGACACGAGAGAAAAGGCGCATGATCCCTGGAAGGAGGTCAACGTCTGGGACTGGCCAACCTAATTAAGGACCCTCGGTGATCGTGGGGTACCTGTCTCAGGACTGAGCTTCGCTTTCCCCCGTCGGTATTTTTGGTTGGGAATCAGAAGCACGGCAGGCGTGGCAGGGACCAACTCCCTCCTCACCACAAACAAGGGCCCTACCGCCCCCGCCATTTCTAGATTTCAGAGCAAGACTAGCACCTCCGCAGGAAGACAAATGCCCGCGGCCCCCGTTTGTGGGGAGGAGGGAGCTGGGACCCCCACGCCTGTCGCGCTCCCGACCCCCACCCGAAAACACATCCGGTCTCTCCCGCCCCGCGCAGTGGCAGCCACGTTCCACGCGCAGCCCGACTCCCACTCGCCTCCAGGGCCGGGAAACGGCGCCCCTCCTGCTGGCTTCAGCACCGACCACAGCAAAGCGAGGCGGCGGCCATTTTAAATAAGGGAGAAGCCCATTTCATGAGACCTGCCCCCTCCCCCATGGTCAGCCACAGCCCGACGGCGGGCGGCGGCGCCGCCGCTATGACCCGCGCCACGCCAGGCCGCCGGGAGGGGGGGGGGGCAGAGCCGCGCCTCTTACCCGCCAGCTGCGCAGCAACCTGGGCTATGGGCAGGACCTCCTGCACCACGTACTGCGCGGGGCCCCCGCTCCGGAGCAGATCGCCCGGGGACAGGGGCAGGTGGAACTCCCAGGAGGGCGGTGCCGGCATCTCCTGGCTGCCCGCGAGCAGGGGCACGTCGCCAGCGATTCAGCGGCCCCACGCGCGGGGCTGGTCCCGAACAGCCTCCTCCAAACGGTCCGCCGCGCGCGAGCAAACACGACAAAGTATCCGCTTCGGCCTATCAGCGCGCGCGGAACACCGCGCAGCCAATCAAAGCACGGACCGATTTCGTCACCACCCCAGCCATGTGCAGGCCCACCTCTCTCCGAATGGCCAGGTTTGCGCCCACTCCTCCAGCGTTCTAATCCGCCGCCTTGTTCTTGGCACCAATCAGAGGGCGGCTGGGACACAGCAACCAATCAGAACCCAGAGGCTCCTTCCGCCTCTCCCAGCC